AATGGAGATTCAGTAGAGGACCAGCTTTATAGTTAAATGGGTCTGATTTCTCTAACGTAGATGTCTTAGAATTGGAAAAAGAAGCTTAGTTACCCATGCAACTGATGAATATTCACCCAGCGTGAATAAGCAGGAATTTATCTCTTACATGCTTCCAGTGCAACAAAAAAATTCAGTAGAGCAAGAAAGAAAGGGATGAAATAAGCCACCTGGAAAATCCACTTCTCCTATTTGTTTTCAAATTTATTATTTTCTGTACATTAGGTTAGCCAACCTGATCAAAGCTTTTTCTGTGTCGTATTTTAATAAAAGCACATGGAAATAATAATATTTGTGAAGGTATAAGAACTAAAGATTCTATTCATGCATTTTTGATTGTTATAATTCAGATGCATCCATATCATCTTTTGCTGACATTTCTTAAAATTTGCCCTGAAATGAGAAGCCACTTGCCTTCATACCATTCAACATCCCTTATTGTTTACGGCTCCCACAGAAATCCTTCTTTCCTAGCACAACATTGTTCTACTGCATTTGAAATTTCAGAAGGTATTTTTTTACATGTGCAAGTTCTGCAAATCTGTTCCTATTCTGTCATATGTGTGAAGCATTACAAGTCACATGCTTAAGACAGGCAGAAATCCATCAGAGGGTAGTGATGAAACACCAAAACCAGTAAAGCAGTCAAATGCTTCTTCCCTCATATGAGAAAGATCCCAAAAGATGGCATGTAGCTCTCACTGGAATAAAGTAATTCCAAAGAAACATCCAACTTTTTTTTCCCCCCAAATCTCAATACAGTTTTACTTCCAGTATCACAGCTTTGCTCAACAGGTAGGGAGAGAAAAAAAGAAGAAAAATTACACCATGAAAAAAAACCAAAATTATTCCCTGCTGTCATTCAAAATTTCAAAAACATCAGCACAATTGTCAAAAATCATGTCAGTTGCACATTTCCACACAGAACAAAAATCAGAAAATTTTGCCCCAGAGCTGTTAATGGGAAAAAGCTAAGATTTAGGTCATCTTCACTCACAAAAGACTTAAAGGAAAAAAAAAATCTCCTGTATACTTAGAGCAAAGCAAATAGAAAAGGAACAAGACCTATTCTTCATTCTTTGGACTGGACAAAGCACTTGTTTTGAAAGCCTCGATACCAGCCAAGAGCTCAAAGCAGGTGTAAGAAAGCTCCCCCAACAGTGACACCAGCACCTGAGACCATGCCATGGCCTCCTCAGCAAGATGTTGCCATTCAGTCCTCAGAGCAGTCACCAAGCCCCTGTTTGTACCAGGGAGGCGCTGTACACATTTACCTGTAATATCCAGAAGAAAAGAGGATGTGACTAAAATTCCAAAGCCTGCACTACCGCCTCATCAAACATGGGTTGCTTGCCAAACAGATGCTCTCAAGGCTGGATGACCACTAAAGCATACTGAGTCCTGCAAAGCTTACAGTGCTCTCACCTGAGCCAAGGAGCTGCTCTCAACTCCCCACCAATGACTTCAGTTAAAATTTAACATCCTGCCAGCAGGAATTTGTACCCAACAAAAGGATATGGCAACACTTTCTATACTGTCTGCGGGACAGCAGCTTAAAACAAATGTGCACAGGGACCTTACAATTATGTCCTTCCCAGCCTGAACAAAGTATGAACAGCCCAGCAGCAAGATTAAAGTCTCCAAAAGAAGATAAATAGTTTCACTCTTTTATAATGAAACTGTAAACAAACTGACAAAGTTAAGGAGATATGACAATCTTACATCAATGTACCTCAGTCCTTCAACACATGAAGGTTTAAAGACTCAAGCTGTTGGTCACTTAGGACAGATAAGTAACAAAAAAAGCACTTTTTAAAACAACCAGCATTCCAAACATGTCAAATAAACTAATACTGTTAAGTATTTGTCATAACTTGGACATTTTCAATAGTGTACTATTGCAATCAGCAACACCACCAGCATGAAAAAGGGACCAAGAAGGAAATCAGTGAAGTTAAAAGCTTCTATATTAAAGCCATGAGAAAATAATTTGTTTTCCACCTACACACATACCCAGAAATTGTACTGTGGAGCAACAGAAAATTCTATTTACCATTACATTCTAGTAACATATCATAAGAATAGACTTCCATGGTACTAATTATCAGAAAAGCAAGCAAGCAATAGGGGGTAAATTGTGACTTAGATGCATGGTTTCTCACAGCATACTTTATCTGCACTTGTCAAAATCTGTTTATTTTGGACAAATGACACAAGACTTCCTCATGGCAGGAAGTCCTGCAAGTCAAAGGCCACTGTTGAAACAGTATTTCCACTATTTTGTAATAGGGACTGAAAATCACTTAGAGACATGAACAAAACTGCTAATTAACATGAACAGATTTGTCCTCTATCAATTTAACCACCTGAGAGGGAATCACTGTCTTCTTCTCTTTACATTTCTTAGCTTAGCACATCTTTAGAAACCCAAGTGAATGCCCAGAACCTAGTCACGGAGCAATATCAACATTTGGGAAGTGAAACACCATGTTACAACACCCAAATTTCCAAACAATCTCATGACAGTCCTGAGCATTTCAAAGGGTAAGCAGAACATCTGCCCACTCACCCCCATTCCCACAAAGCACCACTGAAGCTTTCTGAACGCTAAAAGTCACACAGAACACTTGAAAACTCTGAATTAGTTAATGCAAGGTTGGTGGATGTGAAACACTGCTGAATTCCTTTAACAGCAGCACACATCAAAACATCCTGAAGACACGCTTGCCTTGCTCACTTCTGCCAGTTTAGCTCCACTAAACCAAAGTACCAAGGTTTGCATAGCCACACAGGCAGCTGTCAGATCACCTTCTCAGACCACTCCTGTGCCAAGATGCAGCAAGATAATGTAGCCTTGTTACATCAAGGTTGAAATTATCAGGAACTATAATTATTTTTTATTTAGAATCTTTCTGTTACCATTTTGAACAAAAAGATAAGCATTCTTTTCTCACAGTCCCACTGTCTTCCCCTAGTACTGTGTGGTAGCAGCACTACCAAGTAGCTGATCTTGATGTACTGAACTGGAAACAAACAATTGACTGGACACACCAACCCTTACTTAAACCTTGATATATAAATGTTGTAATAAATTTTCAAATGGGTGCTGAAGATACTAAGTCACAGCAGCTCCATGATTAACTTGCTTCAGCTAGATAATCAGCTGGCTAAGAGATGCAGGATGACCATAAAACCCAAAACATACTACATTTTTATTCCAAGTCTAGCAGCCTAAAATCGCCCAACACACTAGAAAAACAAATGTGTCCAGTTCCTAGCAAACACATACCAAACTGAAGAATACTATGCACCATCCTTCAATCTGGTATTTGAGGAATTCTTCTACCCAAAACACCTTGTTATCAACAGTGTTGAGTATTCCAGAGCGGGCCCCCAATTGAACTCAACAGACCCACACCACATAGTGAGGAGACACCCACTCAGAGTCCAAACACAGAACAAAGGCACAATGCCACGTTAACATGGACACATTTCCAGGACACAATGTCTGCCCACCTATAACCTAAAAGCAAAGAAAGAGACTTGGCTGGCTTACTGCCATTGACCATGTCTCACAGCAGGTAAGTTCATATCTTCAAATGCTGTATGCCTACCAAGATTGCACAGGATGAGTGAGATATTGCAGAAATATCAGATCTCACAGACTGTACAATTTGTTCACAATAGCCTAATTCAAGATACTGCTAGCTTGTTACCAAAATGTGCCAAGGATTCAATCAAGCTGGCTCTCTGCAGAACCCGACTGGATCCATAGGAGTCTGTGAGTTCAGGAACATCCTACAGCTGTACAGCCACAACTGGGCACAAAGGCATGCACAGGCATCAGGGAGAAACCCAGCTTTGATGAAGAAAAATAATTTCTATTAGCTACAACATGCAAAAATTACTTCTCTTAACAAGAAACCACCACTTGTTCTTTGTAGTAAAATTTCATGGTCCAAATGTGGACATGCATGGACCTCATCACAAACCTACATTAGCAAGAAACCAAAATTCAGTCATTAAAATAAGGCCAGGACTCACAGGTCTACACTGAAATCTTGTAAATTACTCTAGTTAGCCAAAAAATTTCAGTTAAATCATTCATGAAACTATAGGTCAAAATAAATACATCTAATCCTTTGCACTTCTTCCACAAGTGTTTTGCTGTGCAGGCACAGGTAGAAATTATAATCTTAGTATTTCAAGGTGAACATCACGCAGGGTTTAGTACCCAGCAGATTGGTCTCTGTGCAAACCTCTGCATTTGCGTGGCCCACCTCTCAGAACTGCAGGGCGAAAACGACGCTCGAGACAAGGAGCAGGTACTTCACCAACCCCAGCACCATGTTCCGAGCGACTCCCCTGTCCCCAGGGACGCAGCGGGGACAAACCTGTCGGGTTCTGTAACTTCAATGTCCCTGCCGCACCGCGGGGTCGACAGCTCCAGGCTGCCGCCAAAAACAGCACCCGCACGAAAAATCAAAATAAAACGCGGGGGGAGGAAAGCTGACCTGACCCACGGTCTGTGAGCCGCCCAGTGCCCGGGGCGACCCCCCTCCGCACTCCCCGCAGGGCTCCCCAAGGCCGGGGCCGGCTCCGCGCCCCGCCGGGGCTCCCGCGGGAAGACCGCCCGCCCCAGCCGCAACAAAGGCGGCCGGAGCGGCCCAGCGCCCGCGGGTTCCTTCAGACCCCCGGGCTCCCCCGGGCCCCTCTCCGCCGCGGCCCCGGCACAGCCCCGGCACTGGAGCCGGAGGAGGGTGCCCGCGCAGCGACAGTGATCGGCCGCTCCCGGCACTCGCGCCGCCGCCCCCTCCTCCAGCCCGGCCCGGCCGCTCGGCATCCCCAGGGAGCGGGGCCTGCGGCCGGGCTGCGGGAGCGCCGGGTCTCGCCGGGCTCGCCGACGGCGCAACAAAGCGGAGAGGCCCGGGGAGCGGCAGGCAGCGCCGGCGGGCACTCACCGAGGGGCAGCGGTGCCGCTGCGCCGGCGCGGGGAGCGGCTGCGGGCGGTCCGGCGCTCCTGGCTGTCCTCCCTCCGCTGAATCCTGCCTCTCCGCGAGCAGGGCTCGGCTCGGGGCGTTACGCGGCGCGGCGGCCGCGGCCGGGCGGTGCGGGCCGGGCCGGGAGGACGGCTCCTCCCGGGCGGGCTTCGGCGGGAGCCGCCGCCGCCACTGCTGCACCGTCCGGGCGCCGGGATCGTCCCGGCCCCATCAAGGCCGGGCCGCGCCGAGGGGGCCGCGGAGGGAGCGGGGCCGCTCCCCGCGGCAGCCGGTGGCCATCTTAGTCCTCCTCCTCCTCCTCCTCCTTGGCGCCGCGTGCCCCCTCCCCGCCCGCTGCCAGCGCTGCCTCCTCCCTCCGCTGCTCCTCCCTCCTCCTCCTCCCCTTCCCGCTGCTCCCGGCTGACTGCGGTCGCTCCCGCTGCCCGAGGAGGGCCGGTTGGCCCTGGCAGGCCGCGAGCCCGCTTCTTAGTCCGAGGGCTTATTACGGTTACCTTACTTTTTGGTAGGTTTGGCTTCTCCCCGTTCCCTGATGGAATTCCCACTCCTTTAGTGCTGACCGCCCGTGTCCTCTCCCCTCTGCCCCGCCGCCACAGGCCCGAGCAGCTGACACGCGAGGAGAAGCCGTCCCGGGCAGGGATCTGGATGTACGATGAGAAAGGGAGTACAGGTCGGTGTCGGAGCAAACAACCCACCCTTGAGCTGGGCTTGAGGTGCTTTCCCTTCTCGCTCTTTGTCAGGTGTACATGTAGGGAAAGTCCACTGGATAGCCGTAGTGCCGACCACAAAGAGGACGGTATGCCTGTGCTGATCGACCGCTGTCATCTGTATGACCCAGATGTTTAAACAGAATTAGTGACCCTTTTCCTACTTAATCCAGAACTCCTGTTAAATTTTTGTCTGCAGGAGAAAACATCTGTTTAGCCTCGTGCTGGGCACACAGTGCAGGGTGTAACTGCAACCCCGGACACTCCTGAGGAGCAGTGCAAATGTGTGTCCACACGTGTGTGACCAGATATCCTTCTGCCTTTTTCTAGTCATTTATAAACTTACCTCCTCTAAGAAATAAGCTGCTAACAGCCTTTCACTCTCCAGCAGCTTTGTTTGGGGTATTTTTTTTTTTTTTTGTTTGTTTACAAAATCCCTTCTGAAGCTTTCATTGAAAAAACAAAATAGCAGTTTGGAGAATCTGGCTGCAGGGGTAAAAGCTGCAATAAACAATGCAGAAACCATCCATGACCTCTATGTTTCATTGGCAAATTATCACAAGCACCAAGAACCAGGACCATCACTTCTTGCCTGTGCTACCTGTGCTACAGGGGCTTATTAAAGGAAATTGTGCACTCTGTTGTGCTTCAGGATAAATGGAGTGAACATCATTTATCCATTCTTCTTTCTCTGGCCATTAGCATCAAACATGGAAATGCACTTAATGTTTTCTCTGGCTGGTGTTCTGCTGTTCAGCTGGCAGTGGAAATTATCTGGTCCCATTCAGATGGGAAAAACTGCTTAAAACTCACAGATGTCCTGAGTGATACTAGCTCTACTTCAGCTCCTACGAAGCACTCACTGAAGAAAAAAGTATAACTCCAAACGAAGAAAGCCTACTTCTCCCAACTGAAAAGCAAAGTAAGCAAGGAAAAGGGTCTAACATCCTTGCCTACACAATACAGTGCCATCTTTACTTGTTGAAGACATCGTCAGGCATTCAAAATTCACTGCGTGGCCAGAAGCAACATCTAGCTCAGCTCAGGAGAACAGTCCAGGCTATAGTTTGGGTTGGAATGGAGCCAACTGTCCCTTTGCAATACCTGTATCTTTTTTTCTGTGCAGGACAATCAGTGGAGAACAGGCACCAAGAGAGAAATCATGCACAGTATATCAGCTGTAGTCCTGTCACAGCAACTGTAATACAATCAGTGGCAGAAGCTCTTAAGACAATTGGTATTCTTGTGTCTCACAAGAAAAACTTTAATTTTATTCCATGTGTATCTTGTTTTGCCCCCACTAATGAAATGCTTACTTTTGCCTACTTTTTAGACATAGGGCATTGTCACAACTTCTTCCCAATCACTTTTTGCAGCCTCCCATTCCCACGTCACCTGCTAACACCTGAAATTGTCACTGTCTGCTACATTTGTCTATGGCTAAGGCCATATAGGAAATGTTACAAGGATAAGAAGGGGAAATGAGAATATTCAAAACATGAAACTGTAGATTTTCTTTCAGCCGATGCCTTTCTGAGGGCACTCACCATGTTTTCTATGCATCATAGAGCAACATATACACAGAAAGAAAAGTATGTGTGTTGGGTTGCTTGCTATCACATACCAGGCTGACATGTTTTACCTACCCCCTTAGTGAAGGCTAAGCTCAGGAGTCAGTGGAAAATATATTTCTGCTACAAAACTGCCAAGGGCTCTATCTCAGTCCATTCAAAGTTAACATGCACTGAATTTTTACAGATGCATCCTCCAACCATGCCAATCTAGAAACAAAAACACAATGAACTCTGCTAGGCAGAATTTGGCCCCATTTGGTGTTTTTATTCTGAACTGCAACAAAGGGAAGCACTGACTCCATCAGCTTGTTCCGACAATTATTTCACTTACTGTGCAAGATGCAGCCTGTGAATGGTACATAGCAGTTACACTTCACAAAACAATCAATCTTCTCCCTGTAATTTACGTGTAGGAGGAGACTTGTATCTTTCTTAGGTAATGGTTCATCAGGACCTATCTGAGAGAGCTCTACTGAGTAAGAAGCAAAGCTAACAGAGATGGTGCTGTTCCTAATTCATTATAAGTAGTGGGAAATCAGCAAAATCACCTAGGATGGCAGTGGGAGTTGCAGGGACATCTGTATGCTATTCCAGATAAACATTTTGCTGCATGCCAAGTTACACTGTTTTTTCTTCTTGCACAGCTAATGCTCATTGGATTCCTATTTATAGTCCCAATCTTTCGGTCAGTTGTCACAGTTCCAAAATAAATAAGGGCAAGCTGTAATGTTCCATACTGAGTGACACCAGACACTCTTTCTACCTTCTCAGCATCTCTCCTCTCACAAAACTTATCACAGGTACCTGCTTGTCTTTCTCAGAGAAGGTGTGAAATAGTAATTACAGTGCTATAGTTAGACAAAATAAAGTATTTACAGTTAATCTTTCTTCCACTTTGCAAAGCAACTGTGCACAAGGGATTGCATCAATCATTTTAAAATGAGGATATATATTTAAATTTCTTTGCCTCCTTTTTTAGAGGGTAAGGTGAAACTGGAACAATTGACTTCCAGTGGTGCAATGCCAGTCTGCTTTCAGGTGAGATGTTCATATACTTCCATTGCATTTATTTCACACATCCTGGACATAAAGCTAAATCTGTCCTCTAAGCATATACTAGCTTATGGCAAAGTACAGGCAACTCCAGAACTGGGAAGAAATTGCTACAAGAAAGTATAATAAAATTGAATGAATTTTAGTCTTTTTTTTAATTAGAATTTTTTTAAATGGAGGAAAATAGCACTGCTTCCCAAATTTACACAGCCTTATGTTTTAATCATACAGGTTCTTAATACTTCCTCTGAGAATTACTCTTCCCTCTCTCCTTCTTGCTTTTTTACAGATAGTTTTTGGTATTAAATAAGAGGAAGAGTGGGGCTGTCAAGGGTCTAGTGTCCCTGTCCTGTGACGCTCATGTTGAATTTGGCTGAAATTCAAAAAAATAAAAAAAAGTAAAGTCCCTTGTCCCACATACTCTTCAGAAAAATAATGGCCTGCTTGCCAGAAGTTAATAAATTATACAATCCCCAAATAGTCTACTACTGAGCTCATAGCATTTGTAAAGCATTAACACAGTCACCACAGCAGAAACACCAGCAACCTGATGGAGTAACAGTCAAAGAAACAGCAGCCAGGAGTGCTACTCCTTCACCCTTGGGACCCAGCAATCCAGCTCCACTTTGGATAAAGAGCCTTTCTTATTCTGTCAGTGTTAGTCACATCGTTCAAATAAATAAACATTTGCATCCCAGTGCTGCAGAATCCAAGTTTAAGGGTAGATGATTTAAGAATAGTTTGTTACAGCTGGTCATAATGTGTAGGTTTTTTCTTCTAAGACAAAACCACTAACAAAGCAGCATTGAAAGCAAGAACATGAGGATGAAGAGAAGAAGCAGAACAGAGGATGGTGAGATAACAGAATTCCCAGCCCACAAAGCTTTAGGCCACATCTGTAACTGTAAAAAAACCCAGAGCTTTCAGTTTAGTTCTCAAAATCCCTGCTCTTCTTCAGATTATTTGTCCAGAACTGAGTTCTTATGATGGAGGCTACAAGTCTAGTAGTGCATAACTTGTCATACATAACTTGTGTATAATTAAATATTATTCAAAGAATAAAGCGTTGATAGAAAAAGACACACACCAAACTTGCTTGTAGACAAGTATTACATTGTGCACATATGTATATGGAAAAGAGCATGTAGTTAACAAGAATATCAAATAAACTTCATGATACTTAATATTTAGAGGATGTGGAAAATTTAGAGGTCAGAGCCATATTCTATGGGTCTAAATTTTTGTGTACCTGTATGCTAATGATTCTTTTTAGACTCACAGACCTGCACAGGCAAAAGGCAACCCCAAATTCAAGGGTCTGGATTGTGTTCAGGCAACCTGAATGTGACTCTGCATGTCCAATGAAAGTAGGAAAAAGGAGCAGATGGCAACAGAGAAGGTGCAGTTCAGCTGAGGTCATTGTGGCTTACGAAGCCTCAAAGCCTGATGATCCCAGGAGTGAATCTGAGAGGATGAGATCACACTCAGTGAGGGAAAAATGCTGCCATCTGGTGCCTCTGGAGGAAAAAAAAAAAAAGGATTATGTTGATGGTGTGCTTCCTCTGCAGTGGTATCAGTGCTTCTGATTCAGTCCTGCAGACCTCCAGCTGTCTTTTTGTTGTTAGGAGGTGTTATCATTCTGCAAGTATTACTATAAACAAACAGGCTGAAAAAGTACATTTTACAGTGGTTTGCCCACAAGAGGAATATCTTTAGGTTTTAATATAGTCTTTAAGGCAATTTTAGGAAAGATGTCTTCACACAAAGTCACGTGTGAGAATAA